GTTTTAAACAGATCTTTTACGAAGATTTTCAGAGAAGTATGATAGACTTCTGGTGTTCTGTTTCAACGAATGATATTGCTAACTATTTTAATTTATTTGTAAAGATAAAAAAATAACATCAGAGACAAAACTATTTCATTTGGCATATGGACATATGTAAATTGGCAGTTAGGGTTAGAAAACAGCACAGGGGGCACCACCTGAAATCTTACCCGGGGAACCAAATTGGCTAGGGTCAGCCCTGCCTGGATCCTCTAACAGGAAACAAACTCATTGACACCTTTCACTGATATTTGGTTGCAGTGTTGTGAGCACCATTGATCCAAACAGGCCGTTCAGAACCTTCTCTCACCTGCCTGCTAAAAGTTTCTTCAGCATTTATTTGCATTTTATTTTTATTTTTATTTTTTGGTCTAGGATTGCAGGATGATGTTTTGGCCTTTGCAGATTTTGCAGAATTTTGCTGGATAGACTTGGGGCTGCATTAGTTTGGTGGTCAGTGCCTTAGTCTTGTACTCCTGAGGCCACATGTTTGAACTCGGGTTGCAAGAGGAAGGGCAACAATTTTCAAATCTTTCACTTGAATTGTGACAACCCCTGCAGAAAGGAGAAGCCGAAAGAAGAACATCTGGCTCTAATACCCATGCTTTCTTCTTAGTTTTCTGACAATGTGCAACAAAAAATGCTTCAATCTGAACTCAACTTTCCCACGGCACAATCAGTTTTCTCCCTTATAATGGCAATGAAGCAGCTTCAGAGCATAATGGAACTTTCTGTGTTTCTGTAGTGATGTGGTCCATCATGAGACCCCAACAAACTGATCAGTTCTGGCTTTGGTTCACTGAGTCCTGCTTGGTTCAGTGTTAATATTTAAACATTATGCAGAAACTCACAAACTTTGTGCTTTTGTACTTACTACTTTGCTTTTCTTAACACACACATTCCTTTGGTAAATGTTCTTATATTTGATGACAAGAGCTGCACAAAAACTTTCAATGCCCAATATTATTGTTTATTGTTGTGATGATGATGATGTCAGTTGGGATTAAGTCACATTTTTTTCCACTCCAGACTCTTCTGTCATCACTGTCATCTAAACCAGGTGTGGGCATCAAGCTATGTGATCAAATGTTTTTTCAATGAACACATGGTATATGGAATATATCCTTGAATTAACTTCTTTGGGACATTATTATGCTCACTGAAATGGCAAAACAATAAATAAAGCCCTAAAAACAGTCAAGCCATTTGATATCTCAGAAGACTGGAAGGTAACCAATTGTTCTGTATTTAAAGCAAAACATAACTTTAAATAATAAATGTAATTTTTTTGATGCAAAAATAAGATAACAAGTCTGCTTGGTTGGATTTGGTTAACTCCTTTGAATATTTATCACCTGCTACAGAAAGACAAAAGGGATCTGTCTGTTTGCAACATTTCTCATGAATAATTGGATAAATGTGAATGAAACTTAAATAAGATAATGAACGGATATACGTACCATCAGCTGCTTAACTCTTGGAGTCAAACTAATTCAAGATGGTTGCTACAGCTAACAGAACCACACACACACACTCACAAAAAAAWCAAACAAACACAAAATGACTATAACTCAGTCAAATTAACAGATATTTAACAAAAACCGGTGTGCTTGTTGCTGAAACCAGTAGCAGAGCTAGACTTTTATGCAAGGGGTGGCACAACGATGGTCAAGATTTTTCATAAACCATTTACTTATTTATCTCTCTTTCTCTTACACACACACACACACACACACACACACACACACA